TGGCTGAACGTATGGTGCGCATCACGAAGGACGCATTGAAAAGACTCACCTACGGGGACTGGCATCACAGGTTGGCTGACTTTCTCCTTTCTTATCGCACCACACCGTCCACTTCTACAGGGAGAAGTCCAGCTGAACTTCATTGGGGGCTTACTACTAAACTTGACCGGTTGCATCCGGACAGACTGCTTTCATCTACCTCACATCCTAGGGCACCTAGACAACTACTTGTGGGTGCCCCGGTTTGGGCTCGCAATTACGGGCCTGGTCATACATGGGTCCCCGCTTCTATTTCCAGGGTCACAGGTCCTCTCTACTACGAGGTAGCCCTGGACAACGGTCGTGTCCTGCGTCGGCACATCGACCAACTCCGCCCTAGGCGGGACCTTTCAGATGAGACTCCTGGGTCTTTTACAGGGGGGGAGGGGGACCCTTTGGAGCAAAGGGAAGGGCACGAGTTGCTGCCCATCTCCACTGATGGAGCCACTGACGGCCCATTTCAAGCTTCCGCAAGTGCTCCGAAAAGGAATTCATGGAGCTTACCCACACAACAGGCACTCATGCCTACTCCAGCCAGGGAGTCACCCCGGGGGCATACTCACCTTCCACACACATCACACAGCACTCCAGTCACGGAGGATACCCGGGGGGCATCCCAACAAATCATTCCCCGCAAGAGAGCTGGCACACAATCCCCAAGGTTGGCCTGACCTTACCCCAAATTCTACAGGGGGTCAAACATACAGGGAGGTGGTCGAGGAACCAAGTCCCGACTACAACACCTCTAGCCCAAATCAGGGAATAACTGAGTTTTGGGAAGGTACAGAAACCCACACAAGCCCAGACACAGAACGAGGTTCAGGGAATGGACAGCCTCCTGACAGGTCTTGGACGGACCTAGGAGGTTCAACAGAGACGCCCAGCAGTGGCTATCACTTCAGGGGGGCCGAGGGTCTACAGCTAGGCAGGTCAACCAGGTCACAAAGTGACAGAAGCCCTGGCCTGACGAGCCCGGTGGGCGAGCAAGCAGGCCAGGCATCAGGGCACAGCCCTTGGAAGGCACCAAGACAAAATAAGGAGAACAGGCTCACATCTCCCTCCAGTCAGGGAACTCCTGCTAGTAAACCAGAGCTGAGAAGGTCACAGAGAGCAAAGAAATCTCCTAAGTACCTAGAGGATTATATAACATTGCTGGCAAGGCAAAAGCCAGCAAACAGTGGAAGCACTGGGGAGCGGAACGCTGTATAGAACAAATGATTATATGTTGGTAGTAGTTTCAGCCCGGGGGAAAGGGGTGTTATGTCCCGAGCCTTGCAAACGGCTCGGGCGTTTGCAGGCAGTCCCGGGCAGGTGCAAGGCTGCCCGGGACCAGACAGGCTGTCGCTAGCGCCGTGCGCATGCACGGGTGCTGGCGCGGGAAAAGTAACACATTTACCTGGGAGTTGCCTATATAAGAGGCTGCGAGCGTTTGGGAAGCTTAAGGAAAGCCATCTACTTGTAAGCTGAACGCAGAATAAAGAAAACTGAGAACTCCAACTGCTTCTCGTGTCTGCTTTGCGCCAAGGACTCAACAGATTGTATTAGCATTTTGGTGGCTAATTTTGGTGATTTGTTGTATTTGATTGGAAGCCATCCACAGTTCATTGAAAAATTCATGACCATACAAATGTTATTCATTTTTGCTGCAGAAGACACTGAACAGATATCTGTCCTAAATTCATCAGCTGGTTTTTTATATCGTGGTTGACGAGATCAGTTAAAGATCTAGCATGTACATTTGAACACTACTGTAACTTGGGTATTCAATTTCCTTAGGCTTTTTGTAGCATAGCATTTTGTGAAACCCAGCCAATTTTATTTCAAACTATTATGTGAGCCTAGAAAACAAGATAATTAAAGAAAAAGTTATAATAAACAAAAGGAGAAAGTATGAAGTAAATTTATAAAATTTACACCAAGTTATAATGTAAAGGAAATTTTTTATAAAATATTACTTATATATAACTCCTTAAAAATATCTGAGAAGGACAAATCATACAATAATAAATGTTGGAAATACTATAATATAAAAGAAATATTTTATCACATCTGCTGGATATTTAAAAGAACTCAATAGTATTAGAAAGACACATAGTATAATGCAGAAAGGTTTAAATGTACATAATCAAGTACAAACCATTAGCAAAACAGGAGTTATAAACTAGTAATATTAATTTCAGGTTGATCTTATTCCAGATAAAGTAACAAAAAACATTAGTACTTATCTAGCACGTACAAAGTCTAATATTGCTAAAAAAAAAATCAGCAATGACTTTTGCTGCACCTGAAGGCAGGACAAGAAGCAACAGATGGAAACTAACCAAAGAGAGAAGCAACTTAGAACTAAGGAGAAATTTCCTGACAGTTAGAACTAATTAGAACTGACTAGTTAGAATTAATCAGTGGAATGACCTGCTTCTGGAGGCTGTGAATGCTCTAACACTGGAAGTTTTTAAGAAGAGACTGGACAGCCATTTGTCTGAAATGGATTCCTGCCTAAGCAGGGGGTTGCACTAGATGACCTCCACGGTCCCTTCCAACTTTTACTTTTACTTTGGAAATTAAAAATTATCTTGATTCTAGAATAAAAATTTTAGTAAGAGGAAAAAATAACAGAGTGAATGCTCTACTTAAAAGATGTCCCCAAATTTTTAGATTTTTTTTTTCCTTCTCTAGCCACCTCAGAAATTACTGTCATGTTTCATAAGAAGCTACTGGTTTTATTTTATATTCTTGACTTTCTAGATTATTTGTGTTGAGCTTCTTCATTTGGAATATTCTGGGGCATGCTTGGATTGAACTGGTCATTCGACCAGCTAGCTAGCATCTGGCTGATAATCATCATGCTAAGAATAGACAATAAGAACTATCAGCACATTTCTCTATGGACTTAAACCTTAGTAACTTTTGAACAAAGAGCCAACACCATTCTAATGAACTTCTCATCTAACAAATGCTCAGTCTTGGAGCATGAGGATATTAGTACTAAGATAAATTGCAAAGAAAGTCAAATGAATTCAGTTTTAATTCACTCCTTACCCCTGAAGTAAGGGGTGGCTTCAAGAATATTTAAGGAACACAATTTGTCAGAAATTGTTTCATTCACAACATTTTTACTGCCTGAAACACTATTAAAGTTTATCAGTTGCATTATAAGCTGAAATAACCACAGACACACTGAAAACCTATTGTGGAATATTACTCCTCAAAAGATGATCCTTGAATATACAGGTAGTCCTCGAGTTATGAGTGCCCATTTTCAAGTGTCCAACTTGAAAACTCATAGAATGAATCTCATTCGAGGTACGAGATTACTCCCTTTCTTGTTAAAACACACACTGCTCCTTAAGCAAACATGAGGTATCTCAGGGTGGGGAGAGCCATGGAGGGCCTAGTGCTGGAAGAGGTCCCCAAGGCCTCCCCGACCCACATAGATACCGCATGCTTCCCCCTCCCTTCCTGCCACACTGGACTCACCTGGAAAAGATCCGTCTCCTCTCTGCCATGGTTTCTGCTGCTACCCGGATTTGAGGCTGGGGACCATTTCCATGCACCCCAGTGGCCAGATCTGGGCCCCAAAGGCCTTTTCCAGGCCCGATCGGGCCACAAGAGGGGTACAGAAATGTCCCCCAGCCTTAGATCCAGACAGCAGCAGCCTGGAAAAGGCCTCCGTAGCCCAGATTGGACTATGAGGGGGTGTGCAGAAGCGGTTTCCAGCCTCAAAACAAAGTGGCAACAGCCTGGATAATGCCTCTGAAACACAGATTGGACCGTGTTTATCTGATTTGGTAGTTTCTTGATTGTGTGACATTGCTTACTGCTTCATTGTTGGTCTGCTAATAATATCAGTTAACAAAAGGATACATCTCCCTAGTGCAGGGGTATCAAACTCACAACGTCATGTAACGTGAAGTGTCGCAACTTTTTTTTCCATTGCCGGCAATGGGGTGGGCGGTTTTGGCATGACGCATCCGGCTCATGGGCCAGCAGTTTGACATCCCTGCCCTAGTGGAATCAGCCTTGAGGTCATGTTAGAATAAGCAGCCGGTGGTTCCTCATTTTCAGAAAATCAAGGGGGCTGATTGCCTTTCACTTCCAGACCCCTAGAAAGGCCAGCTGTTTGAGATCATATCAATTCCTAGCTATCTTCAAGAAGAAGCTCAGGACAGACAATTTATAGAGAATGTTTGGATCAGTGCAACACATTGTTTTGTTATTTATATTTAGGCATTTTAGCTACATTTTTTTTATTACAAACTGGATTTTTGTCTATTTATAGGCAACCAAGAGCCTGATTAGGTTGGCATGATATAGAAATCAAATCAATAAATACATAAATAAAAATTTCAAAGCAAATGAAAGGCATGGGATTGGAAGAGAGATTCTTTTATGTAATTGTTTAAAGAACAGAAAAGGGATATTTGGGATAAGTGATTATTTGTAGGCTTTGTTTAGAAAAACTCTCTTACACCTTGTTGAGTCCTCGAGTCAGTGGCGAAAGAAGAGCACACATTCTGATGGTAATAACAGCTTTTATTCTATTCAGCTCTCTCCAACACAACTAGAGGCTAGCAGGCCTCTCTGCCTCTAAATAGAATCCCCAGGCAAAAAGGTAACATGAGATGGCGCGCTTTCGCGCCTCATGCATGCGCGCAGGCTGCTACCACTCCGTCTGGTCCCAGGCAGCTTGCAACAGCCAGGGACCATTGCAACGTCCTGAGCCTGCTTTTGCAGGCTCAGGACACAACACACCTCATCTTCAATTTCTTCAAAAAACCTCAAAAACATTTTTAGCATCAATTTTCTTTGGTTCTTAACCAATCCTGGGCCAATTATAGCATATTTTCTCTAATATTTTTGTATTCTCTACAGTGAAATGCAGAGTACAAGAATAAATAAACCCAAAGAAATAGATATGTATTGTTGTGGCTCAAACCTTGCTATTGAAAGAAAGAAATGCCTTTGAAGATGCAACATAATTTTATTTGCATGCAATCAATCAGAAACATGATATTATAGTTTGGTGCTGTGACTTGGATCAAAACCAAGATGAGAGGGGAGAGAGTCAATGACTTGCGATGCTTAAGGTTTCTGATACCTCCCTTAGGCCTCCCAATCTGGACTGTTTGAAGAGGTAACACCTGGGGGGGGGGTTCCTTGTACTACCACATATGCCCAAGCACAACCTTTATTCTCAAGTTAATATTTAACTATAATTAACAGTCCTTGAAAATACATAGCAGAAGTATATTTATAGATGAGGAAACATTTATCGACCATTAACAGCAGTAAAACTTCACATCATTGAGTGCTGTGTCATCACCAAGGCCCTGTGCATCCTCCACCTTTGTTGTTATCCCACATATGCCACCTTTGGGGCAGCGACAGCTCCATGGGCCAAATTTACCCCATATCGTGCCATAGCCCTCTATGGTAGTACCATCACTGCATTTGAACTGGATGTTGTTAGCTGCTGTATCATCAAGAATTCCTTGAGGTGGTTCCACTCTCAGAGAAAAAGAAACCAGGTAGCCTGTGTAGCAGTATTGGTTTTTTGTCCATTTTCCATACCTGCCAAAAAAGGCAAAGATGTATAAGCATCTCTTTACTGTCTAAATTAAACACTTGTCATCAGCCTAAGAGATTCAGGCATAATGGCTAAAATCTGGGGCTAGGAATCAACTTAAAGTCTACATTCGGCTATAAAAAATTATTCATAAAATAATTCTGTCAACAATAGTTGATATTCAACCTAACTCTTTAGGCTATTGTAGGGAAAAAAATTGGAATCAAGAGGTCTTATGGCTGCTGGTATAAACCCCTAGGAAAAATGGGATAAAGAATACTTTATCTCTTCCCAAGACTTCTCCTAATCCATGTCATGGTCAGAATCCATTATATCAGGGCTTCTCATTCTACAAATTGTCTCACAATATTGAGGCATCCTTTCCCCTGAAAAGAAGACTTTTGCTTTCTATTACCCTTGAATGAATTAAGTCCTCACTAGTGAAGAGGTGTCATTATTCAGCTAGCAAGTCCTCTGTGGAAATTCAGTGCCTTATTTTCTTACTGGAAGTCTATCTCAGTTTCCCTGGTTACATTAAACATGGCATTCCACAGGAAAATTGAATGCCCCCTCTGGCTGCCATGTGGCCCTTCCCCATAGTTTATTTGGGGAGAGAGGATTTTGCGATAAAGAAATTTGTAACAATATATCATATCTCCAATGCTGCCCTATTAATATGACATTAATAGCAGCCCCACTTCTGTCCTTCCGAAACAGCACTTGCACATGTAGCTCAGCACTACAGCCCATATTGCCTCACAAGGAGAGTTATAAGAAAAGCAGACAGATTCATAAACTGCACAATGGCAGAATTGTGTGGAAGACTAAAGTCCATAAGAGCTTTTGGTGAAATGAATGCATGTCAGGGAAAAAGAATGGAAGGGAGGGAGATACGCTTATTATGGTCCACAGACTATTAACTACACCACTGCACCACTCAGGAACATAAAAATCTCTGATCCAAGTTTCAGCATCAGCTGTTCATTCAGAGAATGAGCTTCCCCTTCTGAAATCAACAAAGTTAACTTTCAAGGTTGGGTAGCAATGAACTAAGCACCCAGTCATCTCCTCTCCCATTCTTTATGACAAGAAAATGAAATAGGATCAGAAAATCAGTTACTCACGGTCCAACTTTAGACTCAATTACTGTGCCATCGGTACAGTACAAGCGGATTCCATTGAGAGCTGTATCGTCGCCTGCCTCTTGCTTTTCTTCTACCTAAGAAAATGTGATCCTGATAAAGCCTTTCTCCCCTTGCTCTCTTTCAGACTTCAATTCTCAGAAATTCCAACATTAACCCATAAATATTGGAGAATAAATTGGATCCAGATTAAATCTGCCACACAATATTTCACACAGAACTCAGTGGTGGGATTCAGCCAGTTTGCATCAGTCCAGCTGAACCTGTAGCTATTTTTTGGTTGCCCAGGCCCAGAATGGACTTCTGGAAGCAGCATCCACACAGAGAACCGGTTGTTCACATATTTGAATCCCACCACTGACCGAACTCAATACCTTTCTTTAATTATAGAATCAAAAGTGTAAAGCATCCACACAATTAGTTCTTGGTTGCCTTTTAAAAAAAATAATGAAAAGCTGAAGAACTAATTTCAAGAGAATATTTAGAAATAAAGAAGCATCAGAAAAGTAAACTATTACCTTCAGGGAGAAGCCATGAGCATTGCCTTGAGGGCAAAGTATTTTTGGGCCCCAGTCACCCCAAGGACCCCCATTTGGCACAGAAAGCACATCTGTATACATTCGGGCTTCGGTACTCCACAGGCAGCAGGAGATGGTCAAGAGAAGAGCAGTGCTGGCAGAAAGATCCATGGAAACCAATCGGATTCTTGAAACAGAAATGTCTTCAGAAATTACAGCATCCTAGAAACAGGAATCATTTATTAAGTATCCGCAGTACCACTCTCATGAAATCATGCTTTTCAATTCTTTTGTTTTGTACCTTTGCATCAGTCTTAATTCCAGGGAACTGCCTGGATTTGATCCTGCAGTTTCCCAGATAAGATTTCAGAAATGATTTGTCACTGTCTCCTGCCTAGAGCTGAGATAAAGGGACTGGCCCAGTTGGCTTTGTATTTAAGACATGACTAGAGCACCAGTTAGTACCCAGTCTGGTGTCTTAACCAATATACCAAACTGCCCTCTACAATTAGCAGTTTGGAGGATTTATGGCTCATAACTAGAAACCAGAAAGTGAGGTTAACAATAAACTCAAATACATAATTTTCTGAATCTTGCAGAAACTTTAATTCCTACAAAATCAGTCTGAGTTGCTGAGCTGATACTCAGAAAGATATGTCGAGAAACTATTAGCATAATTTTCATAATTTTCATAATTTGTTAGAAATCAAAATGTCTTCTATCCTTATATTAATGGACTCATTTCTGCTTATCTCCTCTACATTGCCTTTAGTCCAAATTTCAGACACTAAGAGTAAAAAAACCAGTAATAGAATGGATCCAAATCTGATATTTGACACCACAATAAGTAAAACCACAAATTAGTAAATATATAATCACTGGATGATTTTGAACCAGTTAGTCCCTCACACCTCAAGGTTCCTGCCAAGACTGTTGAAAAAAAATGAGGAAAAGGGTATTAGTTGAGCCATTAGGAGTTCCTGAATGGAAGGAGTGGAAATAACTAAATATACTGGCCCATCAAACTGAGTAAATACTGTTTTTGGACTCTATGAAAGTGCCTAGAAATCCTTCTCATGCATGGCTTGTATTGGGATTAGTCTTGCCCACAAGACCATCACTTTGTACATAGGGGAGATTGCCAAGCCGGCCATTTTGCAAATGTGTCCATTACATGTGTTGTGGAAAAACCCAATGAAAAAGACAAGAGACAGCAACACAAAACAATAATTCTTACTTTAAGATTCAGAGGTGTATTTCAGCAATAATTTGGAACACAGACAAACATCACAACATCACTTACATTAGCAACCCATTGCAATGAGAACCAATGACATAGCAGTTCCAGCAATGACGGCTTTTGGCCAATGGCAATGGCAATGGTTCCGGTCCCAATCTCTTAATCTCTTATACCCTTTCCCGTCTTAAAACTGCAGACAGCAATCTTACACTTTCTGCTGATCTTCTGCTGAACATAACTTTCCACATACCCACGTACATTGGAACCTGCATCCATCAGCTACTTTCAGTTGCCTATTTCTCACAATTCCAACCCTTATGTTCTAAATCAGTGGTTCTCAACGTTTGTGTGACGGCGACCCCCGTCACACAAACGTGCTGTGCATGAGCGGCGTGGCATGCATGCACGGCGGTACCCCATGCGCAGCATGCATGCGTGGCGGCACCCCATGTGTGGCGCACATGCGCAGCGCCACCCCCTGAGGGGGGGAAATGGCGGATCGCCTTCTTTGGCGACCCCCGTAAAATGGTCGATCGACCCCAAATGGGGTCGCGACCCATAGGTTGAGAACCGCTGTTCTAAATATATTTAAAGCAAGCAAGCTTAGCAAAATCATATTAAGTAAAGTACAGTAGCAACTGGGATTACAAATATCTCCTTTGGATTGTAAAACTGAGCATAGCACAAACATTGGTTCAATACTTTTTCCACGAGGCCTGATTTAGTTCACCTGGGCCTAAACCTTGCATAAAAGAACAATAGCCAATATTTTCATTTTCCACACGTTTCAGAATTCCAAATTGGCCCATGTGACAAAAGATTGCCTTTTGCTACCTTAATGTTTTTTCTCCTTTTTTACTCTCTAGCTTTTCTATTTAACATTCTATAGAGTCTTTAGCCTTTTATTTTCCTTTGCCTTAATTGCTCAGTCTCTCCCTCCTTCTGAAACATGAAAGGCATCTCTCACTTTTATGTTCGCGCTATACTTAGAGCAAGAACAGTTATCCATATTCCACTAGAGCTACTCGTACTCTTCCAAACAACTAAATGTGGGTAATTCTGACTCAGTCACAACCTCTGGTCTCCCTTCCCTGCTCTCTCCAACCCTCTGTAGCTCCACTTACCGTCTTCCTGCTGTTAATTTTCCTAAGCCAGAATGGGAAAGACTTTAAATGGAGACCTTTGTGTAGGCAGGACAGAAGTAAGGGCAGGGTCATGAAACCTGAGCACCTTCTGTTGCCTTTACTGGATGGAGCCAGGAAATAAAAACTAATTGTGCTTCTTATCTGAAAATAAGGTCTAGTTTATTTGCATTTTGCTTTAGTCCACTGAATGCTTAGCTGATGCTTGGTTTAATTATATTTTAAATTAATTACATTTATTAAAGATGTTGAACCATACAAACAAGGTATGAGCAATCTTTCAGTAACTGTAAACCACATTTAACATCTGGCAGAGGAGGGAAGAGTCCCATGTTAGGTATGGTGGTGCAGGAGGAGGTGAAGGTGGTGGCGGTGGTGGTGGTGGTGATGATGATGCAGAGTAGGATTGAGACCATTATTTATGGAGAACCTAGTGGTATTTGTTTAAAGTGTTGGTATATTATGTAAGGTATATTGTGAGAACTCAGACTATTAATTTCACTCGCTAAATTGTGCAGAGAGTTTTTATATATTTCCACCCTTGAAATAACAGGAAGTCAAGTTACTAATTTTTAATAATTACAGTCAAAAGAGGCTTGGGAATCCCATAAATGATGGGGGGAGGGGCACAAATTGCTTACTTCTGAAATAAGTCATAGTTTACACAGCACAACAGTAGTCCCCATAGGACTAACTCAAACAAACCATATCATGGCTTACCACCATGTATGTATTCTGCCATTAGAAAGAATAGATTTCTTTCTTTTTACTAAACCCAGTAAAACACACAGTATTGTGTGCAGTATTTGAGGGAAGACAAAATTATTAATCATGTGTCCATGCTAAGGTCATCTACTGCTCCTGCGACCAGGGACTGAGCGCTGCATAAAAAAGCCCGCCAAATGAAAATATTGGGGGATGTAGTTGCTTGCATAGATTTTTGGGTGGGACATTATACTTTGTAATTGGGTAATTGTTACTTGTGTATTCAGACTTGGTTTCACTTTTGATGGTGCCAATACTTTGTAACTAATAAACATGTTCTTTGAGGAATTTTCAAACCTCGGAGCTCTGCTTTATTAATCTCTGTCTGTCAGAACCATAATGTTAAACCAAGTCTCATAAAACTTTCATTTTTTTCATGGTGCTGGGCCCCAACCACCTACCCATCCTTTGGGAGAGCAGTGAAGACTTGGCAAAGATTTGAAGATGGAGAAAAAGAATGGAGCCATTGCTGGTAGCAGTGGAACTCTGGTTGTCAGAACACAAGCAGCCGCTCCAACGACCGAGGAGGCATCACTGGCAGGAGCTCAGCCAAAGTCCAGGTTGATCCATCCTGGAAGCTGGTACTGCAGGGAGGAACTACAAACCTGGTGGACCTCTATCAAGCTGAGGCTGCCCCCCTCATATAGCAGCACTCCTGTAGCCACTGAAGAGGAACTCCTGTAGCTAGGGGTTTTTATCCATGGCATACCAGAAGGGAAAGGGATCAATCAGAAGGGACAACACCTGAGACTGGAAATTCTAGTCCACAGTCCACAGCCCCTCACTCAAGCAGCTGAAGGAGAAGTTTGGCAGACTGGAGGTAAAAGAGGCAGATCCCATCATCCAGGATGTGTGCACCATGAGGGGGAATGCCAAGAGTTATCCATCTCTTCCCCCCCCTCACCGTAGTCTCAGCCTGACTGTGGGAGCCTATGCCACCTCACCTATTCCCCAGCCAGCTTTGATGTCAAGCCTGTATCCCAGCCAAGCCCACTGCGGTGGCCTCAGGCTGCCAGTCCAGAGCCCAGCCAAGGAAAATCTGGACAGTGGTTCTGCCATGTCCCCAGGACCAATAAGCAGCCCAGCAGCAGGTGCAGGTGCCCCACCAAGGCTTGAACTGCCTCCCATTAAGCCCACCTTTGAGGGGGACCCCAAGAAGCTACCCTTCTTCCTAAATCAGGTGTGGGTTCATCTAGATCGCTACACTTATGCCTACCTGGATGGTGCCATGATAATGAATGCTGTGGTGGTCAATTTAGAGGGGGAAGTGGCCGACTGGGTGACCAACCTCCATGCTGAAGAGACTCCTGAACTGCAGGATGCTAACCTATTCATGGAGGAAATGAGAGGCCATTTTGAAGATTAATCCCAGACCCTGCTGGCCGAGAACGAGATCCATCATCTGAAGCAAAGAGAATGCCCCACTAAAAAATATGTTTGTGAATTCAGAAGAGTTGTTGGTTAGCTAGGGTGGTGGCCAGGATGATTGTTGATCAACTACTTCAAGCAGGGGCTAGACCACAACTTGCTCCAAGCCTGCATCTATTGGGGCTTTCTCAACCAATTGCATGAGTGGTACAGCATGGCAGTGATGCTGGACATCAAATTTGACTGCTCCAGAAAGCCAGGCACAGCCGAACCCAAGCTGCTGCGTGTCCAGGAGAAATGCCTTTTTGGCCAATGTTCACTGCGACCACCAGCATCCCACAAGCACCAGCCAGGGCTCCTATCAAGTAATACTGATGTGGTCAAATGGGTCACTGTGCTGTGGAATGCCCAGCTCCCAAACCAAAACCCAGAAGCATGCTCGTTGCAAAGCCACAAAAAGCTCCCAAAGAAGGAAGAGAGTAGACAAATTGGGCATGTCATGAAAAACCCAGTCCAAGCCACAGCAGATGCTGGCGACCTACAAAAGTAATGAGGAAGGTGAGGAGGATCCAATGGTAAATCAGCCCATCCCACCTTTTGCCATCCCTACCAAAATAATAGTACCCAAAACTGGGACCCAAATGGACTTAAATGTTTTAATAGACTCAAGTGCCAGGTGCCTAATTAATCTGCCCACAGTGCTCAAGCTGGGATTCAGGCAAGACTGTTACCCCTAGCCATGACATTTGAACAAGCTGACGGATCCCTTATCGGCGGTGCACCTGCCATTTACCTGACAGAACCAGTGTAATTGGAAGTGTGTCAGCACTGGATAATCATCTGTTTTGTGGTGGTCTCAAAAACAACTGAGGCTGTGGTTTTGGGTCTGGCCTGGCTCGACAAATGGTGCCCAAACATCTGGTGGGAGAATGGACTGAGGAATTTAAGATTGGGGATAGGCCTCTTCCCATCTGCCACTGCCAATGATGCAAAGGACTATACCATAAATGAGGTTCAGGAACCTCGCCCTGAGACACTAAAGGCTGTTATAGAAAAGTTGCCAGGTATTCAGCTTGTCCCAACTGAATACCATGAATTAGCCAAGGCATTTAGTGAGAAAGAGTTTGACGTCCACCCCCCTGCCAGGCTACAGACTGCACCATCAAAATCTTATTCGAAGCCAAAATGTACTCAATGACCCCCAGAGAGATGAGAGTACATTGATAAGAACCTGGCTCAGGGTTTTATCCAACCAGAAAAATTGTGTGTAGCAGCCCTTGTGTTGTTCAAAGAAGAGAAAGAAAGGTCACTGAGATTATGCGTGGATAACGTTGTCAGCATAGAGAACATGTACCCCCTTCCCTTAATGTAGGACATGTTGGCCCACCTGGCAAAAGGGAAAGTTTTCACAAACTTTTGGATTTAAGAGAGGTTTATTACCAAGGAAGGGGACGAATGGAAAACCACTGTCAATGCTGCAAATACTGAATATTCTTGCTTTGACAATATGCAAAACTGTCTGGTATTTACTGGGTTAATACACAGCTTAGAGTTGGGGGGGGGGTAAAAAGGCCGGGAAAGAAAGAGGAAGTAAACTTTTGACTTTCACACTAATTTGATAATGTGACTTGTGACTGCAAGATAAGGGAGGGGTTTAGCAAGAAAAGTTTGATGCCAGCAAGAGGCATCAAAACATCCATGATGGTGACCGGCAATTTGTAGCTCTGTAATAAAGACTTTAGGAAACATGCCTGAAAGTTCTTTGAAGTGCTTCATTAGTTGGAACCCTGACAACCACCTTCAATTGCCCCCCTGGGAAGCTTCCAATTTAAAGTGATGTGGTTTGGATTACAAGGAGCCCCTGCTGTATTTATGCAGTTAATCAACCAGGTGCTCCATGATCATTTGTATAAGAAGGCTTTAATTTATCTTGATGCCTATGTGCCTATGCCTGAGTACCCCCCAGGAGCCCCCTGCCTCCCAAACTTTGGATCAGTGAGCGACCTCCTTCAAAAGTGTTTGGGCAAATGTCAAAAAAGCCTTAACCCAAGCCGCTAAAGTTTACAAAGAGCAGGCTGATAAGAAATGCTTCCCTTAAAGACCTTTTTATGTTGGAGAGAAGGTTTATCTTTCAACTAAGTATTTGCGATTGAGGTTACCCAACAAAACATTGGGGCCAAAGTTTCCTATCACCAAAATCATAAATGCTGTTACTGTGGAGTTAAAGCTTCCACGGCTTTTGGGGAAAGTCCACTCTGAGTTCCATAGTAGTCTGTTGAAACCTGTGTCGTAGAGGGAGAAACACATTATGAGATAAAACGAATTCTTGATTCTAGGTTGTACAAGGGGAAGTTGCACTACCTGGGTAATTGTTACTTGTGTTTTGAGACTTGGTTTCACTTTTGACCTTGCTGATACCTTGTAACTAATAAACATGTTCTTTGAGGAATTTTCAAGCCTCAGAGTTCTGCTTTATTTATCTCTGTCTGTTGGAACCATGACAATGGCTTATTCAGGTGGATCTAAAACAAATGCTGAAGCTAACTGCTCAAAGTATGTTTTTTAAACTAATTGCTGAAACTAATTGCTGACATGATGTCTGAAAATTAACTGTCAGAACAAATTGCTGAACTATTTCATGTTGAAATAATAATCTCTGGAAATTTTTTAAAATCAGTTTTAGTCAATCTGCCATATTTAGTGTAACTTATAACCTGAAGAGAACATGCCTAAGTTTCTGTTCCAAGAAACATTTTGTTTGGATTGTATGGACCTCTGGAACAGCCTAGCAATGGCTGTTTTGATGGAGTGAGGAGGGTGCAAAACTGGTGAGACCAGGAATGACTGCGGTTATTCAGTTAACAAGGAATGGGAGGGGAAAGGATTGAGAAATATTTTCTTTATGATGCACAAAAACAAAGGCATTTTGCTTCTATTGCTTTAAATTTTTCTATTTATTTGG